ATCGCCGTCGACCAATTATGGAGAATTGCCGTACTCTGTTTCTCAGCTGCTGCTCGTAGTTTCTCTCTCCAAAAACCGAATCCAACTCGCGCACAGAAAGATTCGCAACGGACAAAAGGGGGAAGTCATTAATTCAAAAATCGGACAAAAATGCCCCTGACCATGACCGCATTAATCACAGCCACCCGATCAGCCCGGCCCAGATCTACGGTCCTAAGGTGGTTACTCACGGATGAGTAACAAAGGGTTACTCACCCTATCCTAAGCCTGTTGGCTAGGAGAGGGCTTAAGTGTTGCTTTTTGTTAGAGAGTGATTTCTAAAGTGAATAGGAAATTAGAAAACTGAGCTATTAACCATTATAAGTTCTGTTTACTGTAGATCATTCATGTAGTCATTAAAATAAATCAACGACAAATGCATCTCATAATGTGTGTCATTCAATTGTTAGTGTTGTTCAATATTTATTGTTGAATTTCATGTGTAGCTTATATTTTGTTATTTATGTATAATTTTTTAGAGTATTTTAATATCTAAGTGGCACCCGGGACCCACCTTCATATGAATTTCCTCCACAATGATCACCTGTTGAGTAAAGTCACAACTAAAGTAAATGTGATCTCGAGTTTCAGAAGCATTATGATGACAACAAAACCCGAATTTATGGGTATCCAACCGACCTAACCCGATTAATGCGGATAAAATTCGTGTTGACGAGTTTGGTTTTAAACCCGTTCACTATCATCGGGTTGGGTTTGAGTTTAGTTAAATCAGCCCCATGGGTATCCGCCAACACCTATATAATTAATTTTTTTTATATATTTAATATTCTAAACAACTAATCTTCTTTATGTTTGTGGAGACATGTCTAATTTTTTCTTTCTAATTGTGTAGAATGAAATTGATATTATCGTGTAGAGAGTGAAGAAGCTTAATTGACAAGGAGGAAAAAGTTTTCAATTAATCATGTTGTTTATAGAAATTGTGATTTGCTTCAATTTTCTTGAGTTTTCTAGATTGGTGTTGAACAATTTGTATGGTTAATTAGTGATTTGCTTGAATTTTCTAGAATGGTGTTTTATATATGGGTAATTTGTGTTGGGAGAATGATATTTGACTTTTATTTTGATAGGAACTTCTATTGTAAAATTTTTACGACAAAAGCTTATGGGTACCCATGAACTTGCGGATACCCAGCGGGTTGGGTTGGGTTTGAGTTTTTCAAACCCAATGGATTTTACCCCGAGTTTTTTTCACGAATACACCCATGGGTTTGAGTTTGGCAAAACCCGACCCAACCCAACCCATTGTCATCCCTAACACGAGGGCAAATGTCATTGACCATTTTTAATTTTCTCCAATCTTGTACGTAACCCTGTCAATTAGGATTTACCATGTGACTAGAGAAAGAATACATTAATTATTATCACACAACACAATGATATTTATTTTGCTATTTTGAAAAAGAAAACAGACCTTTAATAGACACATTGCCTTCATATCACCATGGCAAGAACGTTCACCATGGCGAGACATCATATTATCAATCTTAGGGCTGCAAACGAGCAGAGTCGAGTTTTTGCTTAGCTTGATCTTGGCTCGTTTATAAATTTTTTAGCTCGAACTCGGCTTGAACTCGAATTTTGATCATCCAGCTCGAGCTCGACTCGATTAAAAATAATCCAGCTCGAGCTCAGCTCGATAGAGCGCGATAAATGCTCATTAACACAGCTTGTCAAGCTGAGTACAAGCTCGGCTCAAGATAAGCTCGATCTGAAACCATTCTTGCTGAAAAATGTGTACAAATAAGAACATTATAAATTAAAAATGATTAAAAGAACACTAAAAACTAAAAATAACATCTAACTTCCATACACATCCTTATTAAAAAGATAATTTTCATGTTCAGCAGAGCAATTAATCCTTCCACAAGCTTTAAACAAGCCAGCTCGTGAGCTTAACTCAACAAGCCACCGAGTCAAGCTAGCTCACGAGCTTATCAAGTCGAGCATGTCCTAGCTCAAGCTTGGCTCGTTTATTAACGAGTCGGCTCGCGAGCAGGCTTGTTAAACAACGAGTCGAGTGTTGAACGAATTTTTCCCGATTTGAACGCCGAGTTGCTCGCGAGCGGCTTGGCTCATTTACAACCCTAATTACCATCTTATCACCATGATACAATTCCATCATATCACTATCTTACAATACAATACTAGCGTGATAATAGGTGTTTCGTTGGCGAAACTCGCGTGTTTAATGCGCTCTGTTTTCAAGCAAACACAAACACAAAGTCAACACAATTGTCAAATATCGCCGAATTTCGGCGCCGTTGATTTGATCGATTAAACAGAAATCAAGACGACCGTCAAATATCCACCGCCGGCGTCAGTGATTTTGATTTGATCAATGCACCTTTGACTTCTAACCAAGACAACCGTTACTCGGTTCACCACCTCTCCAAACTATGTTCGAACGAGGGTGTTCAACGAGAAACCAACCCGCGAGTGTTCTAAGTTACGTTACCTCTACTCCTATGGAGGTTCCTCGGGAGAGCTCCGCGACTACGACTACAAGCTACGATTTACGACTCTGCAAAGGAGTTCTTTGACAGAGCGGTTCTACGAAACTAGGGAGAAAAAGATAGATCTTGCGACGGTGCAGTTTGTGATTTGATTTTTCCATCTCGAGCTTCTCTCTCTTCCTTATGTTTATACCCCAATCTTCTGCCAGTAGTCTTAGTAACCGCCTTCGCGCCTTTGTCTCCCGCGTCTTCATTCCTGTCAACCGTGCGGGTAACTTCCTCCTCGTTGCGTGATAATCACGTGCCCCCGAAACACAGAAACTTGGCAAAACGACATTGAGCCAAATCCTACAACCTTGTACACGCAACGATTTCACCAATACCGCGACATCGCTTTTCACTACTCAAAGCTATTTTATAATCGCAACTCAATAGCACCGGCCAGGTTTGACCAACGACTTCGTTAGCCCATCAAACAACATCGTTTTCTAGTCTTGCACCGCCGTTGGGTTTGGCGGGCCACCTTTGGCCGAACTCTTATCCACTACTGCGGTGTCGTTTTACCTTTCCACGACATCGCTTTTCGCTAATCGATGTCGACCTTGAACTGCTTTGTCCCGATCCCATCAAATAATGTCGTTTTCCATTCCGCGACAATGTTCTCTACCAAACGTTTTTCTCGTCTTGCAGTGTCGTAGGGCTTGCAGGGCCTCGTCAAAATCTAACCGGCTTGTGGTATGGTTTCTAACCGAACGACATCGCTTAGTAATATCACGGCGCTGTTGATGCCTTAAGCGGTGTCGTTTTAGCTAAACAACACCGCTTGATTCTACCCGCGACATCGTTTTAATATTAACCGACTCCGCTTCCAGCCTTGCGGTGTCGTTTTCTTCCCCAATCAGCTCCGTTTGTTTTTTTTCCTCAGCGACACTGTTTATTTTCAACACTGTCGTTTGCTAGTACAGCGGCACCGTTGGGCCTACTCGCGGTACCATTTTGAATTAAACCACACCGCCTAACATAATAAAAAGAAATACCAACGTGTTAAATTGCCGCGATTTTGCACGTTTGGGCTGGGACGGATTTTTGGGCGTATCACTTACCCGATGTGATTTTAATTAATCGGCACCGCTTATCAAGGCCTCTCGCGATATTGTTTTTAAATCCGCGGTACCGTTTTAATTCTCGGCGATGCCGTCTTGTCTCCATGCGGGTATCGCTTCCCTTCGACAATGAATAAAAAACAATAATTAATTAACAAACTCCTTTTCCAACACCACTACTAAACGCGCGTCCCACATCTTATTTTTTGGTAAACACTGTCGTTTCCAGTGTAGCGGTACCGCTGAGCTTCCTTACGATACCGTTTTCTATTTAGTGGTATCGTTTTATTTCTCCGTGATACCGTTTTAATTCTCCACGATGCAGCTTGTCTCCGCGAAAGGAAGGGGGAAACCATGAACCAAAAGACCCAAATTAAGTAGAGGGGCCAGGGGAAGACTTCGGTTGTGGGCAGATGGAGCATGAGAACTCGCCGGTAGTGTGGAGGACTAGTCGCCAATAGAAGACTCGGCAGGTGATGCTTACTCGTCGGGAAGCTGCTATTCGGGACGGGAGAGACCTATTCGAAGATAAAATTTCCTTTCTCTGTTTGTTCTTCTTTTCTTTGCGAGGTCTATCACCGGATATAGGACGGAGTGGCAGAAACGGCGAGAGGGAGCTGCAACAAGGGAGTGGCTGATAGTCCCCGGTGGTGGTGTGGCCGGGGTGGTGTGGAAACCCGAGTAGAGGCCGAGGTAGGTGATGGAATTGGAAGGATCAATTATCACAGCTTTCACTAACAGAAAATTTTCCCTCTGCAATTTTTTCTCACGCTGATAATTAATTTTTGTAATTTAATTAATTTTTATTAAAAATAAACATGATAAATCATATGAAAAGGTGAGTGGAGTCAACCAAAAAAAAATTTGAGTGGAATGATGAGGTGGGATTTTTTTTAATTTTTTTTATTTCCATATCATCTAGTTAACGGTCAACTTTATAGCTGACTACCATGTATGATAATTTTATGGAGTGTAACTGCCGGGTGACTAATGTTGAAATGATTCGTAAAGTTAGACGAATAAAAAAAAAGTAATTCAAGTGACAAACATGAAAGATTTGTATAATTTGAATGACCAAACGCGTAATTTGGCCGTTTTAAAACCATACAGTTGAATCACTAAACAATTTTTAGTCCTAATGACCTAATTTAATAACTAAGCACGCTTTAATCATGAAATGAAGAACAATCGTTAGCAAATTTGAAGTGTCGAATTTACTTTTGGCGAAAAAAGACACTTTTGTTCATCCAAAAAAAAAAAAAATGAAAAAAGACACTTTTGCTGAAAGAAAAGGAGAGCCCCACCGCACTAAGACAGAACAAACGTCCAAAATATAACAGAACAAAGACCTGTGTGCGCGTTGTACTTTTTCAACATGAAGGAGTAGTGCCGTTGAATTGAGTTCACAGTGAGAGTCAATGCCGATTCTTCTATTTCGCTAATCATCCCACCGGTCGTCGTCGCCCCGGCTTGGAAATACCGCGATGGCAGCGAGACATATACCCTAATGGAAGCAACCCCACTAGCTCTCTCTTCCCTTCTTCTTCGGCTTTTTCTCTAGAGTTCAACAACTCTCCTTCCCCTGTTTTTGGAATCCAAGTTGAGCCGGTTAACTGTCTAAAATCGAGACGAAAACACTGTTGAATTTCCGATCTGCCGGTGCCCTTTTCCAGCTCTCTCTCTCGAAGGTAGTGATCAATGGCGGCCGTGGGCTTTCGGTTCCACCCGACCGACGAGGAGCTCATCACCCATTACCTGAAGCTTAAGATGACCGGCCTCGATGCCCTAGTCGATAGTGTCATGGGCGAAGTTGATGTCTACCGCTTGGAACCATCGGAATTACCCTGTAAGTCAGCGGGGGAGAGCAGCTCCTACGTTCTCAACTTTTCCCCTTCTGGGTTTTGCTCCGATTGCCGAATTTAGCGTTTGACGATTTCCGACATTTTGGCTTACTCTGTTTGTTTTGTCATGTGTGCTTGAAGATCATTCGCTGATTGGTTCTTTTGAGGACCAAGTGTGGTATTTCTTCTGCCGTCTGGATTACAAGTACAAGAACAGTAAAAGGGCTAGCAGGGCGACTGAGAGTGGGTACTGGAAAGTCACCGGAAAGCCCCGTTTCATCTTGGCCAGAGATTCTGGCGACCAAATTGGGGTTAAGAAGACTTTGGTTTTCTTCTACAGAGCTCGCGGTGACATTAAACCCATTAGTACCCAATGGGTCATCCACGAGTACAAGGCCGCAGAACTCCTTCCTGATCAGGTTGGTTTGTTATTGTTTGCATATGCTGTAGTTAATGGATTGTTTTGATCGAGTTTTTTGTGGAATGATTTCGGCAAAACAAGTGCCCTTTGGTCTAAGCTATTGTTGTCCCATTGAGTTAATTTTTGTTTTAGAAGGAGTATGTTATCTGCAAAACTGAAGCACAAAGGGGATGATTGGACGAAGGGTAAAGTTAGCATTGATGGTGAACAATAGTCATGCTGCACCTGTTTATGGTGTCGAAAATCATGGTCCTGCAATCCCAGTGGTGAGTTGAGAGAATGCCATTAATGAATGAGAGTTCTCCCTTTTGCATCTTTCATGTGACTTGTGCATGGATGGGCAGTGCATAGGGTTACTTTATTTGTTTGCCATATCTTCGCTTCGCTAGGTGTTTATGGAATTATTATAGCAGGGTCGGTCTAGTAGCCATTTCCTCATATTCTCTTTCAACTTTTTGGTTGGCAGCAAGAATCAGCTACTGCAATGCAATCACCAGTGTGGCTTGAGGAAGGTATTTCCATTGATGATTTCTTAGGAGACGATGTATTCACCAATGAAACTAATAACGGGTCAACCTTTGGATTCGAGCCCGATGAGGAACTGGATCCAGACAGTTACCTTGGTATCCCGGATGATGGCATTCCACAGGTACTGATTACATCGACTGAGTAGGCTTTTCTTAAAACCTCCAAGTCAATCTGCCAGAGGCCAGAGCCCAGAGCCATATCCCATTCTTGAGTAGTATTGAGAATTGTAGTTTATACTTTGTGATTTTGAAGATCTTGAGAGGATAATGTTTTACTCCATCACTCTCTTAAACAAGGTCAACGTAATTACGGCAGGAGTTATACACCAAGGCCTCTCTGAACATGAAGCTTCTTACTTCGGGGGTCAGGCGCAGTCAAAGTTTCCAATTGCATCATTGCACCAAGATAGCAATCAGGTAAGAGACAGCGGATTTGAATACCAAAGTCTCTATAAAGGTGAAGCTTCTTACTTCATGCCTCAGGCGCAGGCCAAGCTTGCAAGTGCATCAACGTGCAAACAAAGCAACCTGGTAATTTACCCACTGATTTTAGATAATATTGCATGAATTCTCACAACTTGACATTACAATACGCAAATGTGTTCTTCAAATGCATGAATTCTACTTTACATGCTCTTAGCAAACGACCCCCAAGGTTAAATGCAATCAATCTACACGACCATGCAAGAGTTAACATAAGAATGTGTTACTGAAGTGGTTTGTTATGTGTGTTCCATGTTAGTTTGTTAAGCAGGGCCTTGGTCAAATGACTCGAGCTGCAGAAGCTGGGAAGGGAAGAAGGCTCCTTCCAGAAGCTACAAGGGCCACCAAGTCATCCCGCTTTACTAATGCGCATTCGGCACTGGAGTCGAGCCCGGCAGCTTCAGCTGCGGAAGCCTGCAAAGGACCTGTTTCAGTCATACAAATGGTGGAGATTCCAGCAAGTAATGTGCTCAATTCACCAACTGTATATATCGCCAACATACTGCTGGTGTTGGCGCTCTTCAATCTCTGACCTGGCCTGCCTTTTCTTCGTTGAAAGAAGTGGATTTGTAGGTGTGAAAAACATTATGCTTCGCTATATGCTTAAATATTATATATTGGTAATCATCCCTTCTCTATAGAGTCATTATCTGATCGTTTGTATGAATTTTGGACGACCACCGCTAGAAATTTAGGGGTGAAAATTTCAATCGTGGATTTTGGATCGCCCCTCAAACAATGCCACTCACAAGGCTTGAAGTTTGCACAGGTTTTAAGACAAGAATATCATGTGTACTTAACAAAATGAAGGGTCACCGGGGATCGAACACAAGACACCTCAGTCATGGAAGGCTCTGATACCATATCAAGACCCAATTGATCCCAATAACTTGAGTTGTTGGAAGAGGTTCAATCGTGGATCATATACTACAACACTAACAGTCCCGTCTATGTCTCCTTCCTGACCCTGTCTAACCCTCAAGGGACGGGATGGGTCAGTGGGTCGACCCTAATCAACACACCATTTTTTTTACAAATTACGTTTTGGTACCCAAAATTATTTTTTCTTACAATTTAGTAACTAAAATTTATTTTTTTTTACAAATAAGTCCATAAATTTTGATGGTAAAATTACGTTTTGGTACCCAAAAATTTTAATTTTTACAAATTAGTACCTAAACTTTTAAAACTTTACAAAAAGGTCCAATGTGGTGTGAGATATTCGTTGTTGCCAAGGGTCACAGAGTCAAAACCTGACCCATCCCTAAGTTGTCCCTACCCGTCTCGACCCTTACAGGTATAGGTGTCAATCGGGCGGGTTCGGGCTGGGTTCAATCGGGTTCGGGTTCAAACGGGTTGCGAATTAGTCGGGTTCGGGTTCAAACGGGTTGCGGGTTAGTCGGGTTGCGGGTTCATCGGGTTCGGGTTCAATCGGGTTGCGGGCAAATCGGGTTGCGGGTTCATCGAGTTTTGGGTCGGGCGGGTTGCGGCGGATCGGGTTTCGGGTTGTTCGGGCCAGCGCATCAAGTAACTTAACTCATTACTCATTACCAACTTACACATTTTATTACACTAATTTAAATATTTTCTTAACTTTTTAACCAATTTATTTCTACCTCGTATATATACTTTATTTTTTAAAAAAAAACTAGTAAAAATGTTAAATCAATTTGTATGACTTGCAAACTTGTTATGTAATTAATCATAATTGGTAAAGTATTATAGCTAATAGTAATGGTGATATCAATATTTGCAACCAAAAGACACCATTAATTGTATATTTGATATTTTATTATTAATTCAGTAGTAATTGGATTAAAGTATCTCGTTTAGTATAACCATGCAAATCTGGTATTTGGCGTGTGGTATTTGACAAAAGCATAGTGATAAAAGGAGTTATTTCGAAATAACTCATTGCACAAATAACTTCAGTAAACTGTTGTCAAACGAGTTATTTGTAATATTGTTCGAATTATCCTAAAAATTGAACCATTAAAGATTAGCTATCAAATTTAGTAAAATTATTGTGACTTCAATCATAACTTACTCAATAGCGTATATCCTATACACTTGGTCTTACCCTCAACAACAATATTAAGTTAGTATATGTTGTTGATTGTATACCCTAAACCATCAATACATTATACACTAACCACATAACTTATACCCTATACCCTAACCATATGTCATTGAGTTGTGATTTTGCTAGTATAATTAATTTAAAAGTGAAATTCATACTTTTATTTTCAAAACATAGATAAAAAGTTATATTTGCTAATTGTTATACCCTAACCATATATCTTATACTTCACCACATACCTTGTACCCTAACCACGTACCATAAACATAAATTAAAAAGGGATCTCCTGCCGTTAAAGACTTCAAATGACTTCAAGTGAACATATGTTAATAAAAAACTTAGAACCGTCAAAACCATCAATATCTTATACCCTAACCATGTACACCCTAAACCATATGTACCTTATACCTTATACCCTAACTATATACTTTATATCATAAACAACGAACCGTCAAAGATTACTTATCAAGTTTAGTATAATTGTTGTAACTAATGATTAATTTATTTATTAGCCCATAAACAATTACATATATATATATATATATATATGGGGAGTTCTACGGTACCCTGGGTGAAATTCGGGGTACCGCATACCTTGAGTATGAAAACACTATCTAGACCTTGAATTGACCGATCTTTCGGACATGATACTATACTCTAACACTTAAAGATCAAATCTAGGTGTTAACTCTCCCAATCTTATACTCCAAGATCAATTTAATTAGAAATAATAATCGACGGTTATGATTCATCCAAATATAGGCACAAAAAGGAATGCACCATCTTAGGCTTTATAGATTATGATTTAGATAATTGTGACCTAGGGTTCACTCATTAAGGGTTAGGGTATAATATCAGACACAAAAATCCTGGTAATTCGAGCTCTAGATAGAGTTTACATACTCGAGGTATGCGGTACCCCGGATTTCACCCGGGGTACCATAGAAGCCACCATATATATATATATATATGGTATATATATATATTAGCCTTCAAATCATATAAGATTAATTTTAACTAGTCATGCCCTCCATATAAAAGTTAAAGATTCATATTTCAAAAGCTAAAATTATGAAAAACAAAAAACTGAAAACACCAAATATGTTTCCTTCTTTTCTTTTCACAAAAATACTAAAATTTCCCTCATTCTTTCTCCTTCCATACATTAGAAAAACTCAATTTTCTCTCCTCTTTCTCTTCCATGAAATTGAAAAAACCAAATTACCCTCTTCTTTCCTTCTACAAAAGTTGAAAACTCAAAAGTTTCCCTCCTTATTTCTCTTTCATAATTAAAAGAATCAAACTTTCCCACTTCTTTCTCTTCCCACATATCAAAACCACCAAAATTCCCACTTGTTTCTTTTCTAAAAAATTCAAAGAACCAAATGTTCCTCTTCTTTCTCTTCCCAAAAACTTGAATACACCAAAATTTCCCTCTTCTTTTTAAAAACATCAAATTACCAAATACATTACTTTACTTTACTTTATATTTAATTGATAATTTTATTGAATAGTTAAATTAACCAAAATTTTAATTTATATATTATATTAATATTGTCATAATCTCAAGTGACCTTCATGTTTCAATTTTTGTAATTTTCTTAAAATACGTAAATCAAGTGAGTTTCATATTTTTTAAATTTCCTATACGAAATGAAAAAATAATTTTACTTAAGTTTAGAATGAAAACTTTATTTTGAAAAACTATGCATTGTATATTTTTATAATTATTCAAGTGGATTAGATGAAATTTGGGTTGACTCGGTCGAGTTACGGGTTAGTCGGGTTCGGGTCAATCGGGTTCGGGTTAATCGAGTTGCAGGTCAGTCGGGTTGCGGGTCAATCGGGTTCGGGTTAATCGGGTTGCGGGTCAGTCGGGTTGCGGGTTAGTTGGGTTGCGGGTCAATTGGGTTGCGGGTCAGGCGGGTTACGGGTTGTTGACTTTTAGTCAATTCGGGTTGCGGTTGGGTTGCGGGTCGGGTTTATCGGGCGGGTTAATAGGTTCGGGCTATGTTTTGACACCTATACTTACAGGGTCAACAAATGACCCGTCCCTAATTTGTCCTTGTAGACAAACTGACATGTCCCGTCCCTGACTCTGTTTGACCTGTCCCTGAAGGGTCAAGATGTATAACTGACCCATCCCGTCTCTGTCTCCTTCTTGACCCTGTCTGACCCGACACTCCAACATTTATAAGCATTTTGCATCAGGCGCTGAACCGTACTTGGGTGGGCCAACACAACACGCGGCTCGGTTCGGATTTTCTTATCAAGTGTTGTGGTTGACATAGTTCGTCCGTTTTTCGTGTCGTGGCGTGCTAATCTATCTTTTCAAATTAGTTAGACCAATGACACAGTTTAAATTGTGCGGTGTCTACTAGCGCTCGGGTTGTTCTCAAATTCGTGGTAAATGAAAATGAATAATAGAGGAAATGAAAAAGAGGGAGAGCTTCAAATGAAAAAGAAGGAGAAGAAGCTTTCCCGCCTCTCCCTTAGTCGACGAGGGAAGCTAATTAAAGAACAAGAAGCTATCTTGTCTCTCCCTCTCCCTCCCTCCCTCCCTCACTCAGCCGACGATGACAACTAATTAAGGAACAAGAAGAAGCTAATTAGATAATATTTATTTTAATAATAATTTTTTTTACGTCAACAGTCATGTCATTGCTGACTATATAACCACTAACGAAAAACTTAACGATTGTATACAAATGCATATTGAAAGTTACATAATATAATATAGGGTTATAGGTATAATATGCCCCTCTACTATGTCATTTTATCAACATGTCGTTGTACTTTGAAAAAATTATCAACCATGGTCTTCTGTTGAAATTTTCATTGAAAAAATCATCAATCATGGTTGAATCAAGATTTAGACGACCCGACATCGGCAAATGGAGGAAAATGTCAATTTTGTCACCATGTTTTATTTCTCTGGGTCTCATCAAAATGAAATTATTCGAATTATTTGACTATACAAAAGAACAAAAAAAACTCTAAATGAAATTACTAGGGATATTTTAGACATTGTGTCGCTCAAACTAAAGTTGGCCGCGGTTAACGTTTTTGGATGAATGTTTAATAATTTTTTCAAAGTACAGAGCATGTTTGATGTAGAAATAGTAGAAGGGCATGTTTGATAAAAGACATAGTAGAGTGGCATATTATACCTATAACTCTATAATATAAAGGGCTAATACCACTACAACACCCGAACTATTCGAAAAATGTCACTTGTGTCTTATTGTTTCCAATATTCCATCTGTGTCCTGAACTATTATACTTTAAGCCATTTGTATCCTGACAATTTCGTTGACCGTTAAAGATAACGGTTGACCAAACGGTGGTCAACTTAACATTGACTTTTGTTGACGTGGCAATGCCAAGTCATTGACACCTCACATTTTTTATTTAAATTAAATGACAACTAAACATAAAAAAATTAAAAATTAAAAAGCGGAAAATCTCAGATTGATCACCCTCTTCCCTTATACCCATCCATTTCCCTCAGATCCATCTGTCATTGAGAATCGCGACAGTCTCACATCGGCGGAGAGGAGATGGTTGCCCGAAGCTGCGGTTCTGGATTCCTCTTGCCACAGCAACGATGCAAGC